ATACTTTAACTGTGACTGACACCTGACACCACTTTCAGTCAGAGACAAAGCAGTGGACCTCCAATCCTGGGTGTGGAAGTGAGGAAGAAAAGCCACTTCCTCCTAGTCCTCTGCACTCTGAGTGATGCTCTTAGACCCTCCCTGAAGACTGGTCTCTCTCTGCTCCGAGTCTCAGCCCCATGTCTCTCTTTGTATGTGTGTGTGTGCGTGTGCGTGTGTGTGTGTGTGTGCGCGTGTGTGTGTAGGTGTACGTGCCTATGTGCACAGGAGGCCACAGGAAGATTCTGGTTATCCTGCTCCTGCCTTATTCCCATTGTTCTTGTCTCCATCTCATAACCCCTCCTCAGCACCAGGTTATAGGTATGTGGGCCCACACCTGGCTTTTTACATGGGTGCTGGGGATTCGAACTCAGGTCCTCAGGCTTGCAGAGCAAGCACTCTTACCCACTAAGACATCTCCCCAACTCCCCTGTTTCTCTAAAGCCTGGGCTGACACTCAGGGCAGGAAAATCATTGAGCTGAGACAGTCTTCCCAGGCCCCTCCCGTAGCCTGGCAAAGCTCCTGGGAGGTTGGGAATGTTTTGATTATTAACACAGCCAAGCAGCTAATTAAAATAATAAATTAGAGAACAACAGAGAGGTGATGGGAACCACATAGGAAGGGGGAACGTCTCCTCAGCAGTCATGCAGGAAAGCTGGGCACGCTGGCTTTTCGAGGTCACCAAGGAGGTTCGTGATGATGGTGACATCTGTGACCCCTGCCAAGAGCTGCATCCAAGAGGGCCTCCAGGGCATGGTGATGTGAAGGGGGACGGCTATGCCTGAATCCTGCCCAAGGTGAGTGGAGTGGGAACTACTCTAGTCTTTTCAGACATGGGAATATGACCCTCTCAGGCTGTGAAATAGATTTTGTGGGTTGTGACCTGCACTTAATAACAACAGTATTAATGATACAAACGGCAGAGGAGGTCTCAAAGGGCACCAAACTCAAGCAGGGAAGTTTAGTTCCAAGAGCAAAGTTTCATGTAACAGTCCTTGCTTCCCTTTTTTTTCTTTTGAGACGGGGTCTCCCTGTAGCCCCAGTAGGCTTGGAACTTGCTGTGTAGGCCAGGCTGGCCTTGAACTTGCAGATATCTGCCTGCCTCTGCCTCCTAAGTACTGGATCTAAAGGTGTGCACCATCATGCCCAGCTTCCTTGTGTTTCTTACACAGGTCATGGCACCAAAAACCCTAAGGCCAGTGCTAGAAAGAGAGGAAGCTGCTTGAAGCGATGGTGCAGGGCCCTGTCAGTCCACTGCACTAACAGCTGAGCACCAAGCTTGTGCTATCCATAGCCATGGTTCCCCAAGAGCAAGCACTCATTCTTACAGTACTCACATTCCCATTTCACATGTGAAAAAAGTGAGTGCGGGGCACATACAGTGATTTGCCTAGCATTTCAACCTGCTCCAACTGTCATCACTGTCATCTGATTGGGTGGCTTCAGTGATAGAAATTTACAACCATTTGGAAGGCTGGAAGTCCCTGGCTAGGTAGGCCCTCAGGTTTTTAACTGGAAGCCATGAAGTCTGGCCAGGGAAACTGTCCTTGTGTTGGCTGTTCTGGTCCCTCATTCTTGCCCATCTGTCCTTGCTGCCTCCATTGGAACTTCTTCCTTATCCCTCCCAGTGGACAGGCAGGCTGTGTCCATTCTGGCTGGGTGCAGCCCTTGAGGCTGGTCACCATGCCCACCATCTGCTGCCTCCTGCCCATGCAGTTCACAAGGTCCCAGTCCCTTCACAGATATTTGGTGCTGAGCACCTCACAAAAACCCTTGTTACTAAGGGATCAGTGACCCTTCGGCTTCATTGGGATCACCCTCCGTCCTCTTCTATGTGTAGGGGCAGTGGTCCACACCATCTTGCTCCCTGTGCCCACACACCGTCCATCAGTATGACCTGTACTCTCTCTAATGCTCAGCCCAGTGGTGTTTCCCAGGCCTCAGGATGTATCTCTCACTTTCCACACAGTTGACCTTATCTGCTCTCCATGTTCCATGACCCATGTCCCCGCTCTCCCTTCTCTGTAGTGGCTCTCTTTCTTTGCATCCCTAGGGTACTTTTCACGCTGGTTTTCTAGAGCTTTCTGGGGTTAAGTACCAGAAGCCCCCTATCTGAGAACTCTCTCATTTAAGGAAATCTGACTCAGCAGTGACCTAAGGAGACTCTCTGCTCTGCTGAGCCTTTCCTGTCAGTTATCCTGCTTACTACTGCTCACCAGTTTCCTACCTGTCCCCATGACTGCCAACCCATCTAGGAGGTGACAGCCCCCAAGTCTAGGCATTGGCCTGCCTGGCTCCTGAGATCCAGAGCCATGAGCCACCCGCCCACAGGAAATCCCTACTCAGGTGTCTTTTGCTATTCTCGCTCCCCATGTCTCCACCAGGCCTCATCCAAACTGCTTCTCCTTGTGGTGTCCTGTGCCAACCGTGAGTCCCAGCATCCACCCAGGACCTGTGTACCCCAGATCTTCCTTCCTCTCAGCCACCCAGTTACCACCTGACCTGGTCACTGTTACCACTCCAGCCCTTACCCTCTTCAAGTACTTCCATATCACTGTAGGGTCACTACCATCTCTCGCCTTGGTCAGTGTCGAGGCTGAGGGTACATTGGCAGTGGCTGTGTGTGGGTGGGATGGAGAGTGAGTGGTACATTGAATTGTGTTTCACAGAGGTATTCTGGGATCCTACTCCTGTGCCTGTGACAGGGACTTTATTTGGAAATAAGGCCTTGGCAGATGCAATCAATCAATCTAAGATGTGGTTATAAGGGCAGGCTGGTAGAGAGAGAGAGAGAGAAAGAGAGAGAGAGAGAGAGAGGTGCTATGGTCAACTGAGACACAGGGGACCAGGGTATGAGGACAGCAGAAGGGACAGAGGTGGAGAGGCTGAGGGGCTGGGGTCACCAGTCATCTCTGGAAGCTGGGAAAGGACAGGGAGGGAGGGGGCCTGGCTCAGCTGACACTTTCATGATGGGCATATAGGTCCAGAGCTGTGAAAAATTTCTGCTGGTTAATCCCATTCTGATTATGGCACTTTGTTCTGGTTGCCCTAGTAAATCAACATAGTAAGACATGGGCAAATTATATATGAGATTAATTGTAGTGGACACAGGAAACTTTTACCATTAGGAAAAGCACAGTCTGAAAATAAAAAATTATTTTATGTTATGAGTGTTATGCCTGCTTGTATGTAAGTGACCTGTGCCGGGCAGTGTCTGCAGAGGACAGAAGAGGGTGTTGGATCTCCTGGAACTGGAGTTACAGACAGTTGTTAGCTGCTATGTGGGTGCTGGGATTTGAACCCAGGTCTTCTATAAGAGCAGACAGTGCTCTTAACTGCTGAATCATCTCTACAGCTTCAGGAATAGTACAGTCTCAAAAAAGAAATATTTGACCCAGGTGTTGTGGTTTACACGTCTCATTCCAGCACTTGGGAGGCTGCTGTAAAAGGACTACCCTAAGTTCGAGGGTGAGGACAGCCTGGGTTACAGTGTGAGACTGTCTCAAAAAGGAAAAAGAAAGAAAGAAAGAAAAAAGAAACCAAAAAACAAAATCCAAAAACCCAAAGAAAGGAAAGAGGGAAGGAAGGAAGAAGGGAGGGAAGGAGAGAAGGGAGAAGAAAAGGAAGGGGGGAGAAGGGGAGGAAAGCGGGAAAGAGGAAAGGATGAAACACAGAGGGAGAAATGCACGCTCAGCAAGAATTCAAAATACCCTAAGTAATTCATCTGAAGTTCAAAGCTGTCTACACCACAGCCTAGTCGTTCCTTATCCACAGGGCTTAACTATCCAGGATGCAAAGCCCTGGGCCCTTCCTGTTCCAAGAAACCCTTGACCAGGAAGATCAACATAGCAGTCATTTTATTGTTTGTTCTCTCAGGAACTTTGCAAAAACACATTTAAGCAAACATTGATTGTTCATCTTTTAACAGATAGTATCTGACACGGTCAGTTTTCCCAGATTTTTCAAAACCTTCCCTGAGCTGCTATCTTAGCATGAAAGAGCTTAGAAGCGGTGTGATCCTACAGTCCCTTTCTGCCTCTTTGAGACACTATGAGTCTTGGCAGAAGAGGTGTTTCTGACCTGGCACCTTGCTCTGCTTCAGCAAGATGCTGCTTTGGGGCTATTTTCAGGCTTCTTAATATCTAATATGCTCACAATATATGTTGCATGCAAGCCCTGGAGGCTGGAGACGAACTCTTAACTATGGCAGGGGACACAGACTCAGGGAACTGAAGCAAGCTGCCTCAGAGCCACGGCACTCACAGCTGCCAGAGGCCCTGCTGACTGCAAACCTGCTGTCTTAGTTGTCTCCTTCTTTCCCCCATTCAGTGAGACCACAGTGCAAAACACACATTCAAACAATAAGCAAACACTGGAGTGAAAGCAAGTACCTATAATTACTACACTCGGGAAGCTGAGACAGGAGGATCACCAGGTCCAAGCAAGTCTGGACTACCTAGTGAGACTTTGTCTCAATAAGTTAAATGAAATAAATTAAAGTAAAAAAAAAAAAAATTACCGGCCCTACCACCACCACAGTCTAGAGACTGATGGTGTTGTATTTCTAATTAGCCAAGTAATCACCTCTGGGGACAAAGACCACATTATTGTGGAAAAGCTGTCATAGTACAGCTCTGAGACTGTGACCAGGTAAGATTAGTGGACTTCAGTGGCAAGGGGGACATTATTTCAGCAGTCACATATGAATGGGGGTGGTATGATGGTGGCAGAGAAGACAGATGGGGCTGTGTACAGGGCTGATGGTTCCATAGGGATGTGGTATGGTGGACTTCATGAAACCTGGGCCATGTTTCCTTCCTCCTTCTTAGCTAGGGCAGGGCTGGCTCTGAAGATGGGCGCCTGCATGGCCTTTGAGTTAGGAGAAAACAAACATGGCACAGTGACTCAAAATGAGGGTGGCCAGGTGTGGGGAGGGGCAGTGCCTGTAGCCTCCACTTACCCAGAAGAAGAAGTTGAAGATGAAGAGCAGGTACTTGAGGTGGACCAGCAGCCAGTCTTCCTGTTCTGTCTTGTAGTGTGCCATGGTGGCCTGGCCTGTGGGGTAAACAAGCATGCTGGATGGGAATGCCACAGGGCTCCTTGGCATGATTGTCCCCACCCTGAGCACCTGCAAAGGTTTCTCCAGCTGGTGTGTCTGGGTGGGTTTGAGGCTGTGGGTATAGAACCTGGACCCCAGATAGCAGAAATGCAACCAAATGCAGGGCAAGCCAGGTGGAATTTTCTATACCTTTGGCTCTTAGTTCTGTCCTTGTGACATAGGGCAAACCCACACTCTCCCCCAGCTCACCTGTACTGCAGGACACATTTACCTGTCACATACATGCACACACGCTCACCCATGTTTATACTCTTGGCACAGTTGCTTTGCACTCAAATCTGAACAGGGCCTCTGTGTGCATAAGCTGTGCATGAGCATATGTGCTAGAAAGGACCTCAGGATTGTCCAGGCCACTCTGACTGTCCCTAGCTTCCTAGCTTCCAAAGGAGGAAGCAGGTCTAGCCAGCAAACGGAAAAAGTAAGCAGGTCCTGCAGGCTGACTTGTAGGTTCAAATCCCCACTGTGTGCTGTGGGCAAGATGATGCCCTCCAACCCCAGGGTTCTCAACAGAGGATGACAGATAGCTCCACCGTAGGATCCTCAGGAAGATCAATGAGATCCTCCTTGTTGAAGGTCTAGCATAGTCACATAGCCTATGCTCATCCCCCAGCTCCACTCCCTTAGTGTCCCCTCTCTACCCTAACACCATGTCTTATCCTGACCCTTGGATGAACAACCTGGGAATTATGACATAACTGGAGATGGGGGCCTAGGGTACTGGTCCTCTGCTTCTCAACAGGTGTACATCTCAGTGGACTGAGTCCTTTACTCCTGAGCTGCTGGCACAGGGAGCTGACACAAACCAAGCCTGGGGAAGCAAGTCCCTAACTGGGGACCCTCTCTGTAATCCAGAACCATAGTATAAGCACTTCCACCTGCCCTCCAACAGTCATTCCCAGGACCCTCTCGGCCTCTGTCCCACCCCGTCCCCTCTCTTTGCTTCCCGAGTCAAGGCTAGGTAAATTCCCCTGAAGTTCTCTGTCTTTTGTTTTGGGCTTCTGGGTTTCAGGAATGGAGAGAAGGAGAGAGGAGCAGTCTTCACTGAAATTTTTATTCAGAGACCTCAAAGAAGGCAATTTAAGACCTTGAGTCTTCTTGTTGAAAAAAAAGACAAAATCCATTCTTTTCCAATTTAGTCTGAGAGGCAGGGCAGTAGAAGAAATCCAGAAAGAAAAAGAAGCTTGGAAAGAATGGTGATGCTTGTGTGGTCCTGCCCAGGGCATCAAAGCCATTGTATGGTCCCACCGGTGGGTGTCAGCATCCTCAGGCTCTGTGAGCCCTCAGGACCAGCCAGCTCCTCTCCCTCTCCAGGTATCCCAGTCAGGCACCACCCCCTAGCCTTGACCACTGAAGGAAGCTTGTTAAACCCATTCTATCCAAAGTAGGGACCCAGTTAAGGAATAGTACTTTTTTTTTTTTTTCTTGAGACAGGGTCTCCCTATAGCCCCAACTGGCTTGGAACTTGCTATGTAGACCAGGTTGGCCTTGATCTCACAAAGTTCTCCTTGCCTCTCCTCTCCAGTGCTGTAATTAAGGGCATGTGCCACCACAGGACCCAAAACTACATTCATAGAAAGTACTTCAGGAAAGAGAGAATTTAATAAACAGGAAAGTCTAAGAGTAGAATTTCAGTCGTTAGTCTTAGAGATGTGAGAGGCACATGGTGTCAGGACTGGGTCTACAGAAGGAAGCAACGAATGTACACACTGTAGTTATGACCGTTTTTGTTGTTTTGAGGCAGGGTCTCACCATGTAGCCCAGGCTAGCCTAGAACTTACAATAGTCCTCTTGCCTCAGCTTCCTGAATGTTGGATTACTGACATATGTAAATAACTTCTCTAAAGTCACATGGCTGTCCCCCCTGCCCCTATAAAACCCCCACCATATGTAGGCCCTTGTGCTGGGGGTGCCAGTTCTAGCTTAGAACCGGACACCTGCACCTGAAAGTTAGCCCTATTTCCCAGCTGTGGGACCTTGGGCAAATTCCTTAACCTCTCTGTGTTGCATCACAAAATGAGGACGCTGCCATACTTCTGAGGGACACAGCAAGGGAGGGCTGGCATATTTGTTCTTTGTCTTTGGAATAGAATCTTAACAGTTTTAGGTGGGGACTTTGCCACCTGGAGCAGGTTGACATTTCCCAACCTCTTTTTCTGAGAGATGTGGACAGGATTACCTGCCAGCAGGAAATCGGTGGTGAGCAGAAAGGTGATCAGCTTCTTTGGGGTGTGCATTTCCCATGCATGTGGGGAGATCAGTTCTTAGGGGTCAATGAGGTCAAACTTCTGGCACCTTGCCCATGCTATGGAGTTTGAGACCACTGGGAAAGACCACCCAAACTCGAGTTTATTTCAATCAGCCAAATTTTATTAAGTTGCAGCCGACTACAGTCTCCAAGTCGGAAATCTGAGACTGCAGTACAGCTATAGGCGGGAGAGGATTTTTAAAGGCAGAAACCACAATTGCTTCATTTCTGTGGTATTTTGCAGCTGCAAGGATGGTAGGGTTATGCTCACCCCTAAACACAGCAATAAGCAAGTTTACAGAAGCCAGTGCAAGCAATGGCTAATCATCCCATGACAGTTTTACAATGTGAGGGCAAGGGGCTTTTTGGAACTAGACTCCTGAGAGGGACAGGACTTACTGGAACTAAGTTCAGCCTTGGGCTGAGCTAGCCTGAAGCAAAAATGGAAGAGGGAACAAAATGGAGTTGATTACACTGTTACATTCCCCACTGGCTCTGGCTCATATGGATCAAATCACTGATTCGTGCTGGACTATGGGCTGATACTGAGTCTATAAGGTTAGTATCTTGACTGCATTGATTCTTCATTTTATATATGTAAGTAGCCAATTCAGGATGCATGGGCCTATGGTGACACTGAGAAGTAGCAGGAGGAGGGGGGAGCTATTGCAATTAAGAGGGTGGTAAGCCATGGAGGCCAGGAGAAAAGAGACTCGTACCAATTAGTGGCCTTGGCTCGCTCTTTGATTCTTTGGTCTAGGTTTTGATTGACCAGAGCCAAAGTTTCTCTTATAATTCTTGAATTATTTGCATAAAAGCAACACTTTTAGCCCAGAGCCATGCAAAGACCTCCTTCTTTTAGGAATAAGATGTCTAACCCATTACTGTTTTGAAAGACCATCTCCACTAGGGAATCTACTTGTTTTTCAAGTCGTCCTATAGAATTTCTGAGATAGTCAATGTCCTGAACTATTCTGGCACTCAGGGTTTGGAAACTTTGATCTCCCAGGGCTACTGCCGATGCTTCTAAAGTAGCAGAGCCTACATACCCGTTCCCACTAGGAGACGAATGAGGACAGCCAGAGCTTCTCTTTGTTCGAGTAGGTGCACTATTGGTTAAATACTGGTTCTTTAATTGAGGCCATTATATATGTATATCTGGGCGAGGATGTAGACCAGGATACAAAAACTTCCTCTGTGTGGTTCCAGTTCCAGGTGTTCAGCTGTTACATATCTGGTGAGACCAAGAGTACAGGCCCACCATCCATATTCCTGGTGGGGCCTGGAAGTATACTCTGACAGTTGTAGACTTAATGGTATGGGTTAGAGAACTACAGGACTGACTATAAAGGGAACTAGGGAGGACATAGGTTGAGGAGGCCAAACACGTTCCTTTTCTTTGTGGGCCTCCTAGGGTGAACTAGTTTCTTGTGATCTGTAGTCTGTGCCTTCTAGTGGGGTGGTAGTGGGGAAAATAGAGACATTGGTCACTGTCCCCACATAGAAGGGGGGATTTGGGATCTAGACAAAGCCAACAATCCTGTCCCAGACTAGGGGCAGTATGATTTATCCAATTGTGTATTAACCTCAAAGTCTCAATCTAGAGGACTTCATTTGAGGTTAGGGCCATTTCTTGCCATGTAGGCACAGCTCAGGGAGAGAAATGACTGATTTCAGTAGCAGTGACTAAAACCTGGCTTACTACTATGGATTGGGTAGCTCTGGAAAGGGCAAGGGAAGAAGAGGTGAATGGTTTGGTTTTCGGATAGAGTAGCCAACTCCTTCCTGGTCCTATAGGATTGGCTTGATGGGGGGAGGGTAATTTTCCTCTGTATATAGTGAATTACATACCATGGTCATTTCCATAGCCTCTGGACTTGAAGTTAAGTCTCCAGATTTGGCCTGAAAGCCAGTGCTGAGCACTTAACTTGTTCCATGAACTCTTAAAGTAAAGGGGTTACATTTCCCAGGAACACAATTTCAGGAAGGTTTTTCCCACTGCAAATGAATGAATGGGTCTTGATGCCCACTGCAGGTGGACTCAGTCGTGAAGCCTGGGGATGAACAATGGTAATCCTTTTTCCTTTTTGACAATGTACTAGTCCAGTAGCCAGGCATGCTTGAAATTGAAAAGACCATACCCCTATTCCTGGATTTTAGTCCCACAGCCCGGGTGTATTCTATGATAGTTGTAGCATTCAGCCATGACCTCATTGTTATCTAAGAGGTTGCATAGATCTTCAGGCTGGGAGGTGGCATTTCAAAAAATGCCTATTACTTTCCCAACTGCAGTTTGGGACAATTCCCAATCCCAGGTCTCAACATTTCTAATTGGCCACATATGGGAGATACCTGTCAGGCTTCCCAGTATCAACATTAATCTGAGTCCACTGTTCGAGTGAATCACACATTCAGGGGATGCTATGGATTCTGGGACACGGTCCATCTTTCACCTTTTCTGTGGCTGGTTGTGTCAGCTTTCAGGTGGGAGTGATGTATCCAAGCTGTGGTTCCTGCTACTTTGATGTCAGTGGGTATAGTTGGGACAATGGAATATAGTCCTTCCCAGGAAGATTCCAAGGTTCTACTAAGCAGGTGACAGACCCATACCAAATCTCTGGGCTGGAACTTGTGCACTGGTTAAGACTGGTGAAGGTGACAGTGGTGAAAGGTGGGACTGGGTGTCTGAAG